TTTAATAGTAAAAGTTACTACCTAACGGTTGTGAGAATGTAATACTATTTTAAAGGACTAGATTTATGATAATGTGTTACATCATTGATTCTACTATCTACAAATCTTAGTCTAAATAAAAATTCAAAGAAAAAAAATGAGCAAAATAAAAGTAAATTATGTTTTTTTATTGGTGTTTTCACAAATGTTTCTTATTAGAATCATAATCCTAAAATCATAAATTTTTTTTGAAAAATTTGTATAAAGGAAATGAAAATATTCAAGGTATCAAAGTTATAAACTTAATAAGAGAATTTCATATACAAAGGATGTAAAAGTTTCACACAAGTAACGAATACTCAAATAAATTATTAGGTATTATTAACAACATAAAATTATTAGGTAAGTAATTTATTGATTCCATCCACAAAAGTCGGTGTCGGAGAGATATGAAACATTTATTATTTCATTGAAAAACACATATAATTTGTCTAATATTACTTTTATATCGAAGTGTTATATGTTTTATAAGTGCAAGAACAATCAATATTGATTAGAGAAAATCATGTTAATAATCATTCATACAAGTTATTAAAGAGGCCCGATGTGAAATGTCGTAAATGTAATTAATTGAAACATATAAAAGATGTGCACATCACAATAAAAAAAAGTCATTAAGATTATAGAGGATGGAGTAAAAAGGGAAACTTATCCTTATAATAACATATTCTACAATTAATTATTTAATATGTTAATTTATAGATAGTAATTATATAAATCACATGGCTTATAATCGAAAGGATGTGAAATATACGATAATAGTTATAGTTAAAAGTCGTTCGGGTGTCAAATTAATTTGTGATATTTTATTTATTTATGATATTAACCAATAATTGTTAAAGGATGCTCAATAATAATTGAGAAAAGTTATAAGATATATTTTAAAGATAAAATTTGTGTGATTAAATATATAAATAGTAAAAATTAATGTGAAAGAAAAAATTTACTTTTATATTTGATGAAAAAAAGAATTATATGTGAAAAATAAGTGTTTAACTAATGAAAAGATGATAGAAAAGACACGAGAATAAGTAAAAAAAGAAGAGAGAACAAATTTTAAATAAAAAATAGATAAATTCAAATAGATAAATATTAAAATAATAAAAATTAAGAATGTTATTTTATTATTTGTTATTTAAATTAATTATTAAAAAATAGTTATTATTATTATTATTTTAAATAGAAATAAGAAATATTGAATATTAATATTTAATAATTAAATTTTATAATTAACATCTATATGTTTTCAACCTACAAAATATAATAAGATGAATTAATCTATTTTAAGATGTTATAACATATTATAAATGATTTATCTTATACTATGTTATTAATAATTTAATTAATTTTAAAAAATATTAAATTATCTTAAATAATATTAAAGATAATAGTAAAATAAAATTAAGAAAAAATTATAAATAATAAAAAATATATTTAACTTAAAAATCTATAAAATCCATATGTACAGGGTTACCACTATACACTTAAAGAAAAATCTGATGATCAATGAATTATTCTAAAGAGTCTTTCTCAATACTTATTATACATATATACATATATTTCTTTTAATGGGCAGAAAGAATAATTAATACTTACATTTATTCATCCATGATGGTATTGAAGAATAATTGGATATAAAATAAGCTTAGAGGGGATATAATAAAAATCAATGAATAAGATTGGTGGAAATTGTTATTTTCTACACACTGCAGTTATTAAATATTGTGACAATGATTATGCTATGAATCAACAATCCCACATTGCAAATATTTTTATTGTTTCATATCTAAGCGATTCCCATCAAAGAATAACTATTATTATTGGCTTACATTTCCAAGAAAGTGGGTGCGATTAGATCATTTTTTTTATCTACAAATATACTTTTTATTTGCGTTTGTTAAAAGAAAGGAACAGTGATGACCATACTTTACTCCTTCATTATTTTTTTTATTATAATTCTGCAATTTTATAATGATTAATTTATTTTAACCAATCTAATTGGTTAAATTTTAATGAGATCATTTGGATCTGTATTGGGATGAACGGTCAATCATGTATTTGGAAGTACTACATTAAAATTATAATTATTGAACCAATAATAATTTAAATTTATTTTATTCCAAATATCTAAAACCATTATATCCTGTTGTTTTGAAGTCAATGCATGAAGTGCTTTGTTGACTATTAACCAAACAAAATTGTTGCTTATGGTGGTAATAAATAATGTAATCTACTTATTTTTTTTAATTAGTTTTTGTTTAATGTTCATTGGTGTTTGTTACTCGTTGAATGACCACTATGTTTCCTTTTTAATTTAATGCCAAGATGAACCATACATTGAATCAAGAACATTGGGCATGCTTTCCCGTGAACACCCCCTTCTCTCGACACGTGTATATTTTGTTTAATAAATCTATGAATCAGATATTTGTTTCTGATTCAGAAATCTATTATAATTTTTTTATTGGATATGCCTTTTTCCATTTTTAAGATCCAAAAGAAAACAAAATTATTACCCGTTTACTTAAGTCCCTTTTAGGCATAATAAAATGACTAATTTGAAAGTTTACTTGTTAATTATTTATAATATGCTTTTTTACATTTTATTATTATTCTAGAATGCTCTTCTTTTATAACTTTCTTCTCACTTTAATAAAGCTGATTCTTTTAAATTATAGTATAATATAGTTAAAAGAAAACCATTTCATAATAAAAATTGGTGTTATCGGTAACTTTGTCTATAAAATAATTTGAAACGGGTGAATGTACATGTTAAGATTATTTTCTCAAATTTAAAATATATAAAGTGTAAGATTAGATTATAGATGAACATAAATATTATTTATATTATTTTTAATGGATTCATTGGTTTCTTATAATAGATTTGTTATTTTAACATTTTTTCATACAAAATTATTATTAATAATTTTTTATTTTATTTACGTAACAAATATAATCAATAAAAACAATTAATATAATCTTAAACTTTTAAATTATATATTTCTTAAAAATTATCTCATTCACATACTGTGATATAAAAAAAAATTATCGACTACATATCTATTTTCTGTTTTTTAAAATAATTTTTATATTTTAAAATTATTTTGGTAAATAATTTTAAAATATTAGATTTTGTTTTAAAAATAAAGAACAAAAAAATGATAAAATAGTTTTATATTTTAGTTTTTTTTATTAGTATTTATTAATATTTTTTGACTAACAATTACATTAAATAATTTATTTCCAACGTCACAAAATTATTTTTTAATTTTCATCACAATTTTGCAGTCACACACACACATATATATATATATATATATATATATATATATATATATATATATATATATATAATTCTATTTCATAACAAATAGTTTTGAAAAATATTAAATAATTTTTCAAACAAATCTAAAATCAAGCAAAAATAATAAAATAACCATGATATATTTTGCAATAAAAAAAATTAAATGAAAGGAGTCCTAAATTTATTAATTCGTTAGAGTGAAATTTGTATTACTTAATTAATTAGTTAGGTGCTTTCATCAATGTTTTTATATTGCAACTATTTGAGTAGTACACTATTTTTATAAATTACAAATGCAAGGCTATAGAAATTTAAAATTTGACTTGGATCCCAGTTATTTAACTAAATAAATTAATCCTAAATCAGTTAATTTAAAAATGACCTAAGTTTTTTACATTATTGGCACTCAACTCAGGTAGATAGATGCTAGAAAAAGGTTTTATTGATTTATGATGGTCACATCAGATATTGACTCGAAACTTTAATACAAAACATTAGGTAAATGATTCATCATGGGTCTCACCAGCAAATTGGTTGAAATTTTGTTGCAAGATAATGGAAAATTTCAGTTTTTAAGTAAAAGTATGTCACGGTTCCTTAGCATATTCCAAGCATATGGACACGAGTTATAGGGTCACATGTTATCATATTTCTTCCATAACATCATAACTTCTTTCGGTATTTATTGAATGATATTAAAGCTTATTGCATATTTTAATTTAGTATCATGTTCAAAAATTGCTATAAAAAAATGTACAAATACATTAAAAAATCATCTAGCTATGCCACGTGGTGATATTAGTGAGCTTATTTTCTATCTATGCGGGAATTACGCAGTCTGTTTTTGATTTTTTATATATATATATTTTCTCACAAGTGTTAAATAAAACAATATATAGAGTGGTCCATGCAGTATATTAAAATAGCAAGTTAGGAAGAGGGATTGTAATTTGAAACAGTGAAACATAAACCCAAATATACGACAATAGTGCAAAGTATACAAAAAGGGAAAGAACAAATCTAAGCACGAGGAAGTATACCTGTTTAACGAAAAAACAAGTAGAAAAGCTTGGATTAGATTTAGAAGTGGATGGGTTCACGCAGAGCAAGTGAATAAAGGAACAGAAAGAGGAAAATTAATAAAAAATTAAAGTAAAAAATAGTAACCCTAATACTCTTTACAGCACATACACACAATACATTCATCCAACCATCGATATCGCACTCCTACACTCGTATCTTCCAAAAGTCTTCAGACTCCTCACATGTCCTTATACTATTAAATTAAAATAAAATAAAATAAACGTCAAATACGTCTACGTAAATTAGTGTTCAATAACAGTTATTTGACTCACCACAAAGAAAAAGTACAAACATAAATCTAATTCTGGATTTTAATTTAAACACAAGTTGTTTTTATGTTACTTTTTATTACATCAAATAGGTACAAGAATTTGCTCATAATCAAATTATTTAAAGCTTCACTAATAAGTGTGTGTAAGTGCTACTTAAAAAAAATTGTAACAAAATCTAAGATTAAGTTGTATATAATAATTTAATTGCAAATAATTTTTAATATAATAAAATACAATTCTAAGTGTTATTTTAATATATAGTTATTATAATATAATCAAAGGATGATTTATTGGGAAGTAAGTTATTCTTTGAGAAAAGAAAACCCGCGGTTCTCGACTGCTATAAACTGCGCGCCGGTGCGCAGCGCGTGTCCTTGGGTTACGTGGCGCGGTTCCATTGGCGAGTAGTTTACGTGGCGCCACATGACGAAGGGTGCGCACTAAGTCAGGCAGTGTACGTTAGCACTGGCTTCACAATTTTGGATTCGCGGTCTGTTACAGCATTCCATGTTCCCTCAACTAGCATGCCAACCCTTTCTTCTGCTTAAAATACAACGTCTTCACAACCATAGCTTCCACCAAATTTTAGACTCTCTCTCTCTCTCTCTCTCTCTCTCTCTCTCTCTCTCTCTCTCTCTCTCTCTCACACTTTCCACCGCCTCCGAAACGCTACTGCTGAATTCGGTGTGCTAGCTTCTGCCTTAGCTTCTTCATCACATATTATATTATTTTATTTTACTGTTGTTAAAATTAAAATACTTGTTCTACGAGAACTCACTCTGCCTCCACGTTCCGCGAGGGGTCAATAGCTGCTAGCGAAGTCGTCATCGAGTTTGGACGCGTATGCGAGATTTGAAAGGAGTCGTTCATCAAATTCGCGACTCTCGAGTGGAGTGTAATATACAACAAACGAAGTTGAAGGCGGTTACTGGTATAAGGCAATAGTGTTTGCGTTTAGGTTTGGCAAGAAAGACGACGACGACGACGACGACGACGGAGACGGAGAAGCGTGGTTGCTCTTCGCACGTGAGAGCGTGCATCGCCATCGTGTGTGCCTGCAGGTGTAGGTTCGTGCGGGTGAAGAAAAAAGAGGTTGTTGTTGAGATCACGGTTTTTGAGTGAGGGAACAGTAAGATTTTTTTGAAAATGCCTCACAGAGCAACTTACTTTTTCCCGAGGCAGTTCCCCGAAAGAGGGTTGGACGAGTCTTCGAAACAGAGATTGGATCACGAAAAGAGAAAAATCGTCAACTCCATCAAATCATCAGATACGACTTTTGCCTTTGAAAGCGACGCGCCGAAAAAGCCAACACCGATTCCCACGCCTGCCACCAAAGACGACGGCAACGCCGTTTTCTCATCCGGTAAGCAATCCGCGGTCTCCGACCTCTTCACCGGCTCCGACAAGTTCCGCTACAAGCAGAAACAAATCGCCGCCTTCTGCGATTGGTTGATTGACAAAAAGAAGGACCGCAACCGACCGACTCACCATTTCAAACCCTACCCCACCGAGGACGACGAGGAAGAAGATGAACGCGAGCTTCTACTTCAGCCGCCGGCGCCTACGGTGGTGGTGGCGGCAGCGCAAGTTGTGAAGGATGCTGTTGACCGGAGCTTCGACCGGGAGGTTTCGCTCCCGCGGTTGTCCAGCGGGAGCAGCTACGCCGGGAGCTTGTTCACGCTGGACGGCACCGCCACATTCTCCAGCGACGTCACGAAAGACGAGTCGTCGTCGTTTCAAGTCTTCACTGAAGAAGACGCGAGAAAAAAACGAGAAGATGAAGAAAACGTAAAACGGAATTCCTTGCAGAAGTATAAAGAGAGCTACTACCTGCAACTTGCGTTGGCGCAGAGACTCTCTTGTATAGCAAGCCTCGCCTCTGAACCTGTTCTCACACTCGACGCTGGCACCGAAACCTGGGACGCTGAATCCGTTTCGTATCGTTTATGGGTACGTATGACAACGAAACAAAACGGCACTTGCTATAACTGTAGTTTGCCGTTTAGTAACTTGTTCTTTTGCTTGATTGTCAGGTGAGTGGGTGTTTGTCGTACACGGACAAGATATCGGACGGTTTTTACAACATATTGGGCATGAATCCGTACCTGTGGGTGATGTGCAATGATGTGGAGGAAGAAGGGAAGCGTATACCGACTCTAATGGCGCTTAAGGCGGTTGAACCAAGCGAGACTTCCATAGAGGTGGTTCTTTTCGATAGACGCGAGGATTATCGGCTTCAGGAGCTTCAAGATAAAGCCCAGGAGTTATATTCTGCTTCGGAGAACGCGTTGGTGCTGGTTGAGAAACTCGGAAAACTCGTTGCCATATGCATGGGGTAAGATATTATCATAAGAATACGATACCCCATAATTGTTACTGTTGTACATTCTTCTTTGATTATTATTATTATTATTATTATTATTATTATTATTATTATTATTATTATTTGTTTGTTTATTTGGTGTTTGTGTGTGTGAAGGGGTACGTTCCCTGTGGAGCAAGGAGATCTACACAAGCGATGGAAGTTGGTTAGCAAGAGGTTGAGGAACTTTCACCAATGTGTTGTGCTTCCAGTTGGTAGCTTATCCAGTGGACTCTGTAGGCATCGCGCGATTCTCTTCAAGGTGAAGAATATGTTTCTTTGTTATTGTATCATTTGGATGCATTAAGAGGAGGATCTGTTAGTGTTTCCCTGTTGATTTTCATAATCTCTATTTACTAATTTGAAATGATTAATTCGCTTATATTTTTGTTTTTGCGGATGCAGAGATTGGCAGACTATATAGGTTTGCCATGTCGCATTGCTCGAGGTTGTAGGTACTGTGTTTCAGATCATAGATCGTCTTGCCTTGTCAAGATTAAAGATGACAGACAGCTCTCAAGGTTAGCGCAATGGTCCTTTTTTGCGTGGTTCTTCTGAGTTTTGATTTAATAGTTATGTTAAGCAAAATGTCTCTCCCCAAGTAATACTTGGTGATAATCATAGTGGGCCGCTTCAGTAATCATGATCATTTTTACTTTATCTTATAGAGTTCTATTGTTAATTTTACTTGTACCTTTTCATCCTCATCTAGATTTGCTGGGCTTCATAAATAAGCCTTACAAAATTATGGATTGTTAAGATGTATGAGTTGTATGTCGCAACTTTCTGTTCAGATTGCTCGTGTCAAAATTTTTGGTTGAGACTATTCAGTTAATTGTTATAGTCTTTTAGATCACCTTATCTAGAACCTGACATTTATTTCATGTTTTCAACAGAGAATATGTAGTTGATCTGGTTGGGGAACCAGGAAATATCCTTGGCCCAGATTCCTCAATTAATGGAGCATATTTGTCATCAATACCTTCCCCATTTCAAATTTCTCATTTGAAAGAATCCCAATCTCCATATGTGGATGTTACAGCATATTCTCAATCTCTTGATAACACTTATTTAGGTATATTGTGCTTTTTATATACCGGGAAATTTGTAGCCTTTAATATTGGTACATTCTTTCGGAGTTCATTCCTTTTCTCTGAAGTTTGTCTTAGTTGTTACTCAATATCTCGCAGGCTGTCTACAGGAAGATCAACGAGTTGATGAAAATGATCGGCTGAAAAATAATAATGGTTCTACTTATGCTGTAATAGATCAAACTCGTGGAGGAACAGAAAAACCTCTATTTCCTTGTGGCTTGAAAGGGAATGATAAGGAATGTGCTATTCTGGGTTTATTAAATTTTCCTCCCAGCTATGAAGGTGTTTCTGAAGATCTTCACCCAGTCTCTGGAGCATCGATAAATGAATACCCCAGTTTCAGTAAAGATTCAGTTGTAGTTATAGAAGCTTCCAAAGAGATCGTTGTAAAGGGAAATTCTGGGGTGAAAGATATCTATAAGCAATCTATACTGAGCTCATCCAGTGAATCAGAACAGGAACAAGTAAAAAATAAACTTGAAAATCAGGGTGCTGGTAATATTCCAAGATACTTGAATCTTGAACCATCACTTGCAATGGACTGGCTTGAGATACCATGGGAAGATTTACGAATCAAAGAACGTGTTGGTGCTGGTAAATTTTATGCTTCCTGTTTCAGTTTTTAGAGCACATCACTGACATGGTGACTCCGAATCTAAACTCTCTTTTCTCTGTGTAGGATCATTTGGGACAGTGTATCGTGCTGAATGGCATGGATCCGTAAGTATTAATACGTACTTTTCTGCATTCTATGCACGAACAAGTTCATGAATATTGCTTCATATTGTCTTCACAGTCCCTAATTTCTTAAGTCTGATTGATTGCGGTTGGTTGCATGATGACTTTATTATAGCAAACCATGGACATATCTTGGATTGTCTCCTTGAATAAATATTTTCAATAAAGCCTATTATTTTTCTATTTTAATTTTCACTAATATTGGTGCATTTTACTGTGGTTTTAAAATTGCAGGATGTTGCTGTCAAGGTTTTAACAGTTCAAGATTTCCAGGATGATCAGTTGAAAGAATTTCTGAGAGAGGTAAGTCTGATAACGAATTAGAAAATGTAATAAGATGTCTATTTTATCTTAACTCATTAGGATCTGCATTTTTATTAGTGTCTTCTTGGGCCTAAAATTATATCCCTTTATGTATCCTTAATTTGAGTATAATAATACTGTTGGGTCATTTTCCATAACTCACTTCTCTGGTCCCTTTTCTAATGAAGCCAGTTAATATTCAAGTTGATATTTTCATTGCTTTAGGTTGCCATAATGAAACGAGTACGCCATCCAAATGTGGTGCTTTTCATGGGTGCAGTTACTAAACGTCCACATCTATCTATTGTAACAGAATATTTGCCTCGGTAAGCCATGTACCCTTTTTTGCAGTTAATTATATTATTTTCTTTTATAAAGGTTTGAGTTGAGTGTCTTACTGTTGTTTCCTGGTCCATATATAACAGAGGCAGTTTATTCCGCTTAATACATAAGCCAGCATCTGGTGAGATTCTAGATCCAAGGAGAAGATTACGGATGGCTTTAGACGTGGTTTGTACCAGATATTGCTATTTTTCTCTGATCAATAAACTGATTTCTATGTTATATATTATGATGCACGATTTGTCTGATTGTAGGCGAAAGGGATCAATTATCTCCACTGTCTGAAGCCTCCAATTGTTCACTGGGATCTCAAAACCCCGAACTTGTTAGTGGACAGAAATTGGACTGTCAAGGTATAATGGAACCAATTGAGCACTTGAGTTTCTCATTGAATTTTTGTAAAAATTGTGCTAATAAATGATAATTTGTGTCATTTTTTGCTCAGGTGTGTGATTTTGGATTGTCCAGATTTAAGGCGAACACTTTCTTATCATCAAAATCTGTTGCTGGAACAGTAAGTTTATTGTTCTCAGATTATGTACATATTAGCATGGTCATAAGAAAAAATCATGCACGTTAGGTTTGAAAATTATTTTTGAGTAGCAACTTCAGGTTTGAAGTAAAGAGAGTTCAACTAATGTTGCTGACATCAGTGCTCTTTGTTCAAATAGGCAACAGTCCGGTTACTTTTTATTAACGATCCCCTTATGCGATGGTGTTGGTGCTTAGTTCAATGATATAATAATGATTTAGATAGATGGTTATCAATTGTTTTGGTGACTGTTCAGTGTTTTGAGTGGGGATGATGTGCTTCTTACAGGTGTGTTTAAGGGGAGCATTTTTGTGTCCAGTAAATTATCTGCCTTAGTAGGTTCTCTGCATGTTGGTGTTAGATAGAGGCAAATTTCTTTCAACAAAGTGGTCATTCTATTAATATTTTGCAGGTTGAACTTTCACTTCACGGTGCCACTTCTTCAATAAGTGTGTAACTCTCTTAATTTTATTTTCAGCCTGAGTGGATGGCTCCAGAATTTCTTCGTGGAGAACCTTCAAATGAGAAGTCTGATGTTTACAGTTTTGGGGTTATCCTGTGGGAATTGGTGACCCTGCAACAACCGTGGAATGGACTTAGTCATGCCCAGGTATTTGTTGAGCATCTAGGATGTCTGAATTTTTTATGCTTGAAGTTGATAATTTTTCCTTGATATGTTCATTTGAAGTATCACCACAATAAATTATAGATTTAAAAGTTAGAAGGAACTATAAATGAAGATGCATAATGCAAACTTGCATATTTCAAATAAGCTATACGGCAAAATGAAACCTGATAGGTGTATAGGCGAATTTTAAAAGTTATCTTTATTTGAACGTTCAGGTGGTTGGAGCTGTCGCTTTCCAGAATAGGAGGCTTGCCATCCCTCCAAACATCTCCCCAGCGTTGGCCTCTCTCATGGAATCTTGTTGGGCTGAGTAAGTGTTATTTGTGTCATTTCTTCTGCCTATTGAAACCATTATAATTTACATTATGATTGCCAGGATTTGTTGTGCGATTTTGCACTTCGTATATTTTCTATTTGGGTAGTTGATTGAATGAATTCCATCTTCGAATTTTTGAGTATTGGGTTAGTAATTTTGATTTAGCAGTTTTCATGACCTTCTGATTAACAATTCCACTTTCTTTATAAATAAATTACTCCCTAGGAAATAGAAGGCCTTGTTAACTGCAGTAAACCTTGGATACATTTTGTTTATTTTTTTCTGACGCTTGCTAATTTTTTTGCGCAGTAAACCTGCTGATCGCCCATCATTTGCAAGCATAGTTGAGTCGCTAAAAAAGCTACTGAAGTCACCAGCTGATGCGATTAAAATGGGTGGGACATAACATAGGGAGTAGGCTGCCCATGACTGGGGTTTTTATTGGTGAAATTTATTAACCTTAACCCTCGTTGGTCATATACTCCTATTGATGTTGGCATGAAGACTTTGATTGTTGCAATTGTATATCGATCGGTTGATTCATGCTAGCCCATTTCATAAGGGCACTTAAAGCAATCAAGTCTCTAGTAACATACACTGTCGACCTCAAGCTCTTTTATCTAAAGCTGAGCAAAATATTTTGCGGATTGCTCTCTCCTACCTATAATTAATTATTTGGAGTTTCTATTGTTTTTTAAGACTGTAAATATGTAATAATCATTTTGACATTATGTAATCTGTTATCTCGTCATCTTACTCTGATCATGGTCAAAATTGTCCAATTCAATCTACTAAGGCAACTGTGGGATTATGGAACTTTTATTACCATTTCTCTTCTCGCGTAACGTATCTCAGGACTTCGAATGACTTCCATTTATAAAACTAATTTTAGTTAAAAAAAATTGAAATAAACCTATGTATGCTTATAATTGTATATTGAAGATTTTTTTTTTAATGTTTGAAACGAAGAAATTTATGTTTAACTGCTCTTCTTTTCATTTATTAGCAATTTTGACCAATTATTATCCTTCAAGATGCCTGTTGAGATTTTTCACTGTTTGGTCTTTTGATAAGGAATTTTCTAATTATCCGACCTTAAAAATAAATAAAGTATAAATCAAACCCGGCAGGGCAGCTACAGAAGTAAGAGGGAGTAGCACGAACAATTGCAATCTCAAATCAATTTCTTTCAGCACTGACACTATCACCTTCACAGAACGCGATTCCAGATTTGAGATTCAAGATTTGGAAGCTTCCAATGGATAAAGAGAACTCGGCGTTGAACGACATCGTTTTGCAGGTGGTCATGGTCGTGGTGATGGTCCTCTCCTACCTCTTCATGCACGACGTCCCCAAGAAGCTGTGGACCAATCTCCGTCTCCGCAACCGCGCCGACATCCAAGCCAAGCGCCACTTCGTCCAAGGAGCCCAGCTCCTGGCCCGCGCCCGGGCCTCAAAGTCTAAGGCCCTGGCCAAAGAAGCCCAAGCCCAGGCCCAGCGCGCCATCGCCCTTGACCCCCGTGACGCCGCCCCCCACCTCCTCAAAGCGCTCGCCCTCGACTTCCTCGGCCTCCGCTCCGCCGCCCTCGACTCCCTTGACGAGGCCCTCTCCCCCCTTGCTGCCACCTCCCTCTCCCACTCTGAGCGCGCCGACGCACTGCTTAAGCGCGCCGAGCTCAGACTCGCCTCGACTCAGCGTGGCCGAGTCGACTCGGCCCTCGCGGATCTCGCCGAGTCCGTCAAACTCAGCCCCAACAACGCGAAGGCGTTCTTCTCGCTGGGAGAGTGCTTCGAGCGCAAGAAGATGAACGACGACGCCGTTAAGGCCTACCAGCAGGCTCTCGAATTGGAACCTCAGTTGCACGTTGCTCAACAAGCCCTACACAGGTTGGATTCTTCGCCCAAAAAGAGTTGAGATCTTGAACCGGATTTGTGTTAAAGTGTCTTCTTGTACTATCGTGTTTAAGTTATAGTTTCATCTCTCTCAACGATACGTTTGGATTCAATTGTGTTTTACAAATTACAATCAACACAAGCTAATTCAAAGGTATATATTAACTTCGAGTTGAAAATTATAGTTCGCCGTATGTTTTTATGATAATTGGGAATGGAGATGAAATTTCACTGATTGAGTTGTTCATGTGCGTGATTTGTTGTCTTTGAAATTGGAAGATTAGGTTTAAGTTTTGGTAATGGTTTCTTTCGATTTCACTTTCACCTTTGAAGAAATGGTTGAGTCTGAATTGTGTGATTTTTTAAATTTTTCTTGTTTGGCGTTTACGGAGGATTGATCAGGAGGCAATATGGACTGTGGAATGGCTCTGCAGCTTTAATTCTGACAAATAGTTAATGGAAGATGGAGTTTAGCCGGATTTTGTGAACAATTAAAAAATTAGTAGTAAAAGGTGATGCAATAGGCTAAATGAACCGTTTGAAGAGAATGATGCTTCCAGATCAGAAAACAGAAACAAAATTTAGCAGTCGCTTCAAATGGACAAATGAGAGACATTACTTTTTAGAACGAAAATAAAAATCAAGCCCAAAATGATTGAACATGCCTAGCCGACAATTGGTTGTTTCTTCACAATATATTATATTGTTGCAAATCTCCTCCACCACAAAAGACCCAATTTTTTCCAGTGGAGTCGATGCCATCTAGATTTTATGTTAATTTTGTAATGTTTTTGCGATTAGGGGAGAGATGTTTATTTAGATAAAGAGAAAAAAAAAGTGAAGAATATCATATAAATTTCTCTATAAGATTAATTTATGTATAAGTTACAAATTTAATATAAGTTAATCTATCTAAAGTAACTTTAGTTTATGAAAAAATATATTATTTTTTACAAAAGTACTAATGAAAGATCAATCGTGATTATGGATTAGAAGAGCAGAGAAACTAAGAAGTTAGGGTTTGGGCCAAGATTGTCAGAATGGATCCAAGATAAAATAGGGAAATGAAAGGAGAAGTTTCCAAGTGATGATTGTGTGAAATGGTTAAAATATACCATGAGAAGTTATTGAAGCAAACTGAACCAAAACAGAGGTGTTGAAAAAACTCCCTCAGTTTTACAAAGTTAAACCTTTTAAACTTAATTATATAATAATTTTTGTGTTTCATGTTTTTAATTTATTGTAGTTAAAAGTATTGTAATAAATGTGTCACATTTGTAAGTGTAATTTGTGACAAAAATTAACAAAAAGATATCGGTGAGATGAACATGAGGAGTAAAATGTTGTAAAATTTAAGTGCTCTGATAGTTGTGACAAAATAAACTTTTTTTTTTATGTAAAAAAAGGGATTTTTTTTACTGCTTTTGTAATGTATTATTTTGACTGTGTTGGGAGACTCTTAATTCTTAAAATACCAAAAGCACTAAAATAAACTATAATTTTGATGAAATAAATTTTTAATGCATGAGATCTTATGTATTGGAACTTTGAACTACAAGTAGCTGCAAAGTCAGTGTTTCCATAAAAGTTAGGCACTTTTATTTTTTATTCTTTAAATGTAACTATTCATTGTAGTTTTTTATCATTACTTTTCACCCTAGTTTATAAATAATGACTATTGCAAAAGTTTTTTCATATAATTATTGTATAAGATTCGTATTTATATAAGTGTCTTAGTACAAGCTACATCGAATCTATGTAATACAATGACAGGTATGTTTTATTGAAATGTTAAAAAACTTCATGATTTTAATCAAACTTAAAAGACTAAAAATCTGTTAAAGCAAAATAAACCTGATGTTTATAAGACTAAAACTCAATAGTTACTTTTTATCTTTATTTATATATTTTTTTTAACTTCTTATAATTGTCAACCTATTTTTTTTCTAAATGTAAATAATTTAGAATAATTTTTTATCATAGTTTAAATATTTTTATAAATTTAAATGTAACTATATATTTATTTTTTATTTAACTATATTATTTAGTTTATTTTAAATTTAATTTAATGAATATCTGGTCTAAATATTTTGTTTTCAATTATAATTAGTTATAATAGTATAATTTATATATTTTGACATATTAATTTTTAATTATATAAAATTAAAGTTCATCGAGCCTGAAATACTAATTATTTCTTAATGAATGCTAAAAAAAGGTTATTTTTTTTAATGGAATATGTTAACGTGGGTGTCAAGAAGCGATTTTGAAAAATCTCTTGTCCTCGGTTCTATTCTGAACCTATATTACCCTTCGTCGACGCCCTCGTGTAGGTGTAATTGAATCACGTTTCAGTGCAACTATAACGCGATTCAGAGGGTTATTTTTGTAATTGTACATTTCTCTTTCTCTCACTTTTATTTTGCCATAACCTAATCTCAATCTTTTCCCGCTTTTCTCAGAACTCTATTATCGAGTTTCTTCGAAGCTTTGAGCTAAAGGATTTTAGGATTGAAGACCGAATCACTGTGAGTTTTATTTTTAACGTTTGTGTGTTACAGCAAATCTTCGCCGTGCAGTGTTTTTTTTTTTTTCTGACTTGTGTGTGATTTTGGGTTTGAAAGGAAAATACCCAAAAAGGGGATGGGAACTTAACCTTGGATTCAAATATTGCGCAATGTTTCTTCTGTTTGGAAATTTTCGATCGTAGTTGTGCTGATATCCTAATGTTTGATATGACTTCTTCTTAGCTCTCTCGTCGAGTGTTTACCTCTGCACGACATAAAATATGTTAGAATTTCAAGTATTTTAGTTTGAAGAGATTGCGTCTAACGGAATGGATTTCGATGATTTCCGATGAGTTAGTTTAAGTTAGTTGAGGATATTATTCTCTAAAACTGGGTCGCACTGGATTTTATGTAGTTTTGGAGTAAATTCTTGGTGAGTAAAAATCTAACAATTTTTCATGGTGAAGGTGAAACAACAATTAGTTCCTTCTACTCGTTCATGGTTTCGCCTTTATTTTCTAAGGTAGAATCAATTGTTGTGTATCGTCCAAACACACAAATTGTTCTGACCTGAGCTTCAGTTAATGACCTTTTTGAAAACCTATTCGGTTTACCTAGTTTGTGTCGGTCTATAATTTCTCATATAATTAAAATTTCAGAGGCTCCCACTTTGTTCTCTGCTAGTTGTGCGAAGCTGAATATTGGGGTTCAATTTTGTACTGACCTTAGTTTATTATTATGTTACAGTTAGATTACATGTATATGGTCAACTTTTTTCCTAAGTTGAGAATGAAGGCCGTGTATTTTTTAAATCAAATAAATTGCCCTACCTTAAAAAAATATAAAAAAAAAACCTGGATACCAACACAAATAATTAATTTGAACTTCATCTATTTGACTGTTATGCAACACTAGGATCTTCAGTTCTCTCTCTGTCCATCAACACCATTATTCATCTAAGACACAAGATCCACTGTCAACTTGATCACGTTTGGTAAAACCTATCTTGCACCTCCTTCTTTCTCACATCAACACCTCTTTAAGTTCTTCTACCTCTAAATTCGAGGTTTAGGTCTGTTCTGTTTCTGTGGGTTTGTGAATCTTTGTGTCATTATGTTTAATGGAATGCCACAATCTTCACATACTTTAGAATTCCTCTGAACTGTAATGTGGAAAGCTATTTTGATTTTAAGAATTTGAAAGATCGAGGGCTTGTCTGTTTACTTTTTTTAAAGTCAGCTTTTTAGAACAGTTTTGTCACTGTTTTGTTAAAACAGTTTTCAAAAACTGGATTTGTTTTTTAGTTTTTGAAAACTAAAAACAAAACTGATAAAGGGTGTTTTCATTTTTTAGTTTCTTGTTTTCATTAATGATATCCACGACTTCATCAATAATTGCACTACATTGCCCACCTTTTTCATTAGAGTTATCAAAATCGTTTTCCAATTTTGCCATAATGTTTTGTTGTCGTTGATACCATTCTCTTTCTTCTAAAATAGTTTTCAAACTATAATTATCAACCAATTTTTTTCCAACTTATTTTCAAAAACAGTTTTTCAAAATTAATCTCTAAAATTATTTTTAAAAACTAAAAAACAAAACTAAATCAAACAAGTGCTAAGCTTTCTGCTTCTAGTTCTTTGGTAATTGGGAATGAAACCATATACATGTTCAATCTTCACAGGAAACATACCATTACCTTGATACACTGTTCTTATTAATACCATATACCTATTCAGTTGTTGCCCAGCTTATATCTACAGTTCAAGTGGCAGTTTATCTCTTCTTTAACAATGGTGAAATTGCTTTTTCATTCTCTCATGGTTGGCTGCAATTTTTCAGGCACCAAAGTAGCTGTTATGTGGATGCACTTGTTGCATGTCTAAGTAATAAGAGAAACTTAAGTAGTAATGCTTCTGGGCTGGTTATTAGAGAACCTATACCAATAGCCATGCTTCAAATAACCTTCTAGAAAATTGCAGTCACTTGGTGGCATGTTAAAATACACATCTGTTGAAACTTATTCAGTCCTTCAAGCTAGCTGCCTTCAACACTGGTTTAAAAACTGGCAAGCACTTAGGAGGAACAAATTGACAGCTAGCACTTTTGCTGCTGCTATTGGGTTTTGGCGCCGGCAAAGGGTACAGCTGTGGTTAGAAAAAATTGGTGCTATTGAACCTTTCTCTGGAAACCTTGCCACCTGTTGGAGCAATATCAAAGAGGAGGAAGCACTTGAAAGATACAAACTGATAACTGGAAATACAGTGTTGTTTCCTGAATTTCAGGTTTATGATACCCACCCAGATGACAGCTGGCTTGCCGCTTCACCAGATGGTGTAATTGACAGTCTAGTGCATGAATTGCCTTCTCGAGGAGTACTGGAGATAAAGTGCCCATATTTTGATGGAGACATAAGTAAAGCTTTCCCTTGGTCTCGAATTCCAATTCACTATATTCCTCAAGCTCAGGGTTTAATGGAGATTTTAGGAAGGGATTGGATGGATTTTTATGTTTGGACTCCTAATGGTAGTAGTCTATTCAGGTTACATCGAGATGCAGAGTATTGGGATGTAATGAAAATAGCACTGTCTGATTTCTGGTGGAAGCATGTCCATCCAGCGAGAGAGTTGTATAGAAGTAATGTTGTAAGAAATCCCCTTTACCAATTAAGAACAGTGAGGCCAGCTCCTAGACATGAATTATGTAGAGATATTGTTTACAAAAGCAAACACATTGTTGCTAATTCTAAGTTGTTGATGCGGGAGATACATGGGAAATTGATGCCTCCAGTTGTTAGAGGAGAGTCATTAGAGTAGTAACAAATTCTTTATTATTGACCACACGATATTTTGAGTGGTGAGTGTGAATCAAAATAGTTAATGAATAAATTGGTTTTACCGAAGAATAATGACGATATGAATTTGTTATTTTGATTGATTGATGTGATTATTTGAAGGTGGAGAGTGGAGAGAGACAGAGTTGAAAAGGTTATAGAACTATACAAAATTGAGAAATCTGATATTGAGTAGGAATGGAGTTTGACAGCAAGGATACCTCTAATTCTCTTTAACCGTTTTTTGTGTTTGCTCATGCACGTTGTCTTCCTGTATTTGTCAATGTATTATAGGATATGTGGATTTAATTGCTGTAAAATCCAGTTTGAGGTTGCAAGTCTTGTTATTTTTCTCTTCCTCTTGATTTTACCTGATATTATGACTCTCTCCTTCTCATAGTCAGCATGACCAAGTTCTGTAGGTTCCAGCAAGGTGATTTCTTAATTCTACTGAACTTGAATTGAAGTTTCAATTGTAATTTTGATTGATTGATTGTTAATTTGGTTGTTCTTATTGCAATTTGCACTGGATTCTATCGATAAATGTTTTAAGCACAAGAGTCGTGTCTCTTTTATACTAAACATGAACTAGTAAATATTTTCCCTCCTTTGCTGTTTTTTATGCATAACCATCCATTTGCCTTCTCCCAAATGCTCAAACTTTTTGAAAGAGTTGATCCATTGCATGTGTTAGACGCCTAGACCTCCAGTTATGCTTAATATGGTCTTGATAACGCAGGTTATTAATAAAAGAGTCACGCTGTTGATTATAATTGAGAATAAATATCTTCCCACTGGTAGTATATTTTTCTTTTGCAAGCAGTCTTAATCAGACCACTTTAAAAGGTTCAGTTTGTACAAGTTAGGAACTTCATTTCCTGCTGGATTCATACTTCATAATCTCTTTTTGGTTGCTCTGCTGCTCACTTCTTGTCAGCCTTTTGTATGTGCACATTTATGTCTAATTTTTGTCTTTTTTTTTTTCTTTTTTTTTAATTTTACTCACTTATATGTATACTATAAATTATTTATCTTGTAGCTATCATCTTCAACATAGTGGTCATCCCACTAAAGTGATTTGGGCCTGACATTCTGCTTCACTGTTTAGGATGAATAATTATTATACTTATCCCGGCATAAATGTTTTATAATGTGAATGCAGCACATGTTACCTTGATTATTGATAATGAAGGCAAAATAAAGTTATCATAATCTTCACCAATCTTTTCCTTGACCATTTGATTATTATTATTACACAATTCTTACAATATTCTTCTATATGTTCGGTAAAAAAAAAGAGCTTCTTTTAAACTTCAAACTGTGGATATAGGCAAAAAACAGTTCTTGAACTGTTCATGGAAATAAAAATTGATTCTTTAACTAATTTGTGAACTAGTTCAGAACCAGTTCACAATACTAAAATTTGTTCAGTGATCTTTAACAGGTTTATAGAAAAAGAACCACCATATGAATTGGTTCACTGAATCTAGGAATCAGTTTGATTTGATTCTTCAAGAATATAACCAGTTCGGTTTGGTTCAATTTTTATGCTGTATCTAATCCATGAGGCCGATCAGAATTTGCTTTGAGGTTTAATTTTGGAAATTTTATGCTCTTTATTTTGCAGTAAACTGGCTTAACTATTGTTCTCCTTTACAAGATATTTTTCCACTGTGCAGGAATACTTATAGTTTTTGCAGGTAGTCTTTTATCGCTTTGTTAATCTATGTTGTGATTTACTATTCAGTGTTTGGAGTGAAAAGGTTCAAATTTTGACCAGTGCTGTCTTATGCATTTTCAGAAATAGGTAAAGGGTGCAGTAGATAAAAATCTAGGACATGAGAAGTTACTATTTACCTACAAAATTAATAGTTTTTCATTAGTTTGTGATAAGTTGTTTATTTGCTTTTGATGTTTATGGGCAGTGATTTACGTTTATGTGTTTGTGACAAATTTTGTGGTGGCTGTTATTAATTATTCATGGTTGTAATTATCTATTGGATTTTTAGATTACATGGAGGATTCAGAGCAAAGGAAGAAAAGGCTAAAAGAAATGCGTGTGCAAGCTGATCAAGCTGAATTTTCTGGTGCTGCGGAAGGTTTTCCGATGTCTGGTTCTCTCTCAAATCCCCTGATTGAAGCTCCTTCAACTATTCCATCACGGGATAAATCTTGTCCTGCTCCAAGGTTTGACTTTTATACAGATCCGATGAGTGCATTCTCTGCTAACAAAAGGAACAATACCAGTATTCAGGCTGCACCGGATAATTTCTCTCCAAGCGTTGGTGGTTCTTTTATGGCACAATATCCATCACCACATCCAGGTACTGATATGTTTATTCATTACTGTTTACCCGATTTTGGTATCCTTTAATTTGATATGTATGACTGACTATCCAATCAGAGTCTTGTAGATTCATGTAGCAGAAAGATAATAAACCTGATTTATACTGAATATTACTTGTACAACGGCCATGCATACTGGAATGAGGACTTTATAATCCCTCAACACCCTCTGACACCTATTTAGCAAGTAGGGTGATATTTTTACCCTTCAAATGTTGAGTTTACATTTTAATAAGTTTCAGAAGATTAATTACATCAATTGACAACAATCTACACCGTTTTAAAATTTGACTTAATCAAGAAGGAAGTCTAGTCCCCCAAAAATTATGTAAATCATATCAATTTAGACTAAAGGATTTGGTTGAGTCCAATTTGGGATTTTTTTAAGGTATCAATTCGGACACTAATTTAAAGATTTCTGTATGATTCAAATTATGTAATCCAATCTTTCAAGGACCAAAACTTCATGTTACTTTTTAATCTATGAGAAGTTTCTATGGTCTATTTTTATTTAGTTATGGTTGAATATATGCAGCATTGCTTTTATGAGTTATTGTGTTATATGTTCTGTAGTATGGATACCTGGAATTTCTCTCGTGTACTCTGATCACTATTTAGATTTATAACTTTTCCTCATTGACAAATCTTATTCATTGATTGGATATAACAGAATCAACAAATCCACAGATGACACTGCCTCCCTTCCATGTAGCAGCAGCACATACAAACCCGTATTTGAGTGGACCTAGAGGTCCTGCTCACAATAACTTCCCATTCCATCCATCCAGTGGTGGTAGTAGTTATCCAAATCCTAGATTTGAACCATCAGGTGGCCCATTATATAATTCTGTACAGGGCATAGCTCACCGGCCCAGATACAGTGCTAATCCTTCTCCAGGATACAGGAGCAGTTCTAGGCCCAGTTACAGTTCTAATCCTTCTCCAGGATACAGGAACAGTGCGAGGCCCAGTTACAGTCCTAATCCTTCTCCTGGATACAGGAGCAGTCCTAATCCTTCTCTGGAGTGCAGAAACAGTCCTAGCCCTGGTCAATGGCGAGGGAGGGGCTTATGTCACAACCTTGTTACCTCTGTTTCAGGACGGGGTAGTGGACGAGGAACAAATTTTCGTGGTCATTGGTCCAATGAAAACGCAGCTCGTAGTCCCAATCGATTTTACAAGAGCTCCATGGTTGAAGATCCGTGGAACCATTTAGAGCCTAAAATATGGGAGACAATTGATGGTTCTTCACGTATATCTGAGAAAGTAAGACCCTGGATTTCAAAATCAACGAGTACAACAGGAGAGGGATCATCTGCTGCTTCTGTCAAGTCCAGTTCTGGACCAAGCCTTGCTGAGTACTTGGCTGCTGCAGTCAATGAAGCTGCCAATGATGCAGAAAATGTATGAGGACAGCTGCTCGTTTCATGTACTAGTGCAAATAAAAAGCTCATGCATAATTTGGATAGAGAGTAGAAACTGCAAAACTGTAATCACATGTGTAGCACAGATACGTAGTGAAATTACGATTCAAATGTTTTTACTCAAGTGAGGTGCGCATGCCTATATTGTGATGCAGTCATTTAATGTGCGCCTAGGTTTTTATAAATTTGAAAGTTTTTTTCAAATCACACTTGCACCACCCCTATATCACATTTGCATCTTTAACATTTTTTACCGATATTAATCTCTGTTTTTATTATTCTAATATACTAGAAACTAGAAAGTATAGTTATTTAGGCAAAGCTGGAAATACATTCTTAAGAATTAATTTTTAATGATATCATTATTAGGAGTGTTATTTTGGGTGATATTTAAAAATTCGTTTGGTTAGATTTTAGCATTCGTTAGACGATTTTTAAAATTTAAAGTAATTCAAATAAAAAATAAGAATGGAAGTTGTGGGTTAAAAATACTTCTGATGTTATCTTTATAGGAGAACACAACTTTTCACGCGAACAAAAATAAAGCAAATCATATTGTAAAAACTGCTTGAACAAATCCAGAGAGTGCCAACCATAAAAATACTCTAGTGCCAATGTTTATATTATCGTAAATGAATTTTTATTGTAAATCAGATACATTCGTTCAGGTTAATAGGTTCATCGCGAGTGTAGTGGTTATAACAGTGACCAATAGCAAAGCGGTTTTTATCAGTGTTATTAAAGGCTGCAGTTTTGGTCAAAACATCTTAATGTTCCATTCTGTTGGACTTTGTAGTTCAGCTCTCCAATTTCTTATCAAATTTGTGTTCCTTTTTTTTATTTTATTAACAAATCTTTATTGTTTAGATTGGTAGTGATTGTGTAGGTAAACTGTTACATTAGTAATGAATTCCTTTAATTTATATTTTTTGTTGTTTTCCTAGCATTGATATAATTTGAAGTTACAGTCAATTTCACTTTCATCTAAAAATCCTTTTCCGGTTGTCTTGGAAAGTGAGAAAGTTCCTTTGAATTTCAGTCGAAGCAAAAATAAAGAAACCCTAAGTCATTCCACTGTTAGATAACCAATAGAATGTGAGGAGAAATTTAACGTAGAGCGCTCTGGTGGGGATATGTGATATTGTATCCAACAATCAGTCCACTGAACAATACATAATGAAACTAAATGGTATAATGACCATAAACTACTACTTCCCCCAGGAAGAACAAATGAACACTTGAAAAAACCTGATATCCATGGACTCTCCCTGTAACTCCCACAAAGCGTTACAGACTTTCTATGCGATCTTCCAGTGCCATATATAGTCTTGGTGGACTCAGAAAAACAAGTATTTAGTGTAGACCGCATCCTCACATCACAAAGGTTTTTGCTCGCAACATATTTCATCACTGAAAGTGTGTATGAGCTGGTCTGCTAAGCTTGCTGGGTCATCAATCAATGCATCAACAAAAGCACTAACCACCCTTCTCTCCTGTTGAGTAGCCTTAAGGCTGAACCAAGTGAGAAATCTTACTCTGAAGATTTCATCTATGTGCCCCAGATGCTCCAACAATTTGACCACCCTCACAGAATACTCATAGTCGTTTTCCTTCGAGCGCTTTCTAGAATTCAAACCAGGAATTTGCCTCATTTCATAGGATTTAGAAGGCGTGGAAGGTGAAACTGCAGCAAGATTTTTATATGAAAAAGGGTCTATTGACTGAGGCTTGGAGAGGAACTCTTCAAACCTGCCCCTGATGTTCAAAATCATGGGTTTCCCAGGATGCTGTCCAGATGATAACTTCATGTCCGAGTTGGCAGACTCTGTGGGATGAGTTTCAGCAATTATATGGTTCTGTGCACACATGTCCACTCCGGTACCTGAGGATCTCTGCGGGGACCATCTAAAACGATTTCCACCACAACTTATACCTTTTGCAGAATTGGTGGGATCACAAGGTGTCACCCATTTTGCTTCTGCAGCCCCCAAAATTCCTGTGCTGCTGAACAGAGAAGCTTTGCAAAAGTACTCAGTTGAGGGATGGAGGTTTTCTAACTTGAATCTTTTCTCAGGCCTCAAGACAATGAAGGTGGGTTGTTCAGGGTAGTCTGTTGTTGATATTCGGTGCCAAAGCCTGCAGCCCAGAAAGTTCTTTAGAAGTTTGTCATTGTACTCTAGCACGATAACCACTGAAGTAGGAAGGCACTCTTCAAAACGAATTGAACATGCTGCCAAAATAAGTCACGAGAAAGACAAATCAGTGTGGGTAAATGAAACCAAAATTAACTAATGCAGTAAAAAAGCCGGTGTCTTTTTTCAGGTGATGAAACTCCCCACTGTAAAATACATGCAGAGGAATGGTTGTGGAGCATATGAAAAACAGAACTAAACTGATTATGATAGTCACTCTGGAGAATAATTCTTTTCATTATATCCCCTTTTTTTTCTACGGAAAATGAGGTGAAAGGGAAATAAGTATTCAGCAAAACAACATTTTTTAATGGTTCGATTGATTTAATTTTATATCATCTCTCATGTTGTCACGTACAATCATATAGAAGAAATGCAATCACATATTCTCACTCATCTTAATCATTGCCTACCGTTAGATGATACTTGCCAATGTTTAAACCATTTAAATCTCCAAATTGAAGAAAAAGCTGAAAAAGTATAATTATTTAGTTCTTCCCTTTAGTGTGATGTACTCTGATACTTGTAGAGTTATTCTCGAACCAAAAATTCAAGACTAACCCAGAATTTTTTAGCTTTAAGATCGACTACTTTACTTTAACAGGACAATTTCTGGTTCTACCTGGCATTTGTTCAATAAAATGGCATTTTAAAAATAATAAAGAGCTTACTTGGTGCATCTTTCTTTTCGGCACAAATAGAGAAATGGTCAGAATACTTTGAATCAAAACATTCAATTGCAGTAGAGCACAATCTCTGAACCTCAGCACCACATGAAAGCCTGCTAACAATTCCACGTGTCATCCTCGCATATACATGATCAAGTGATCCCACTTCATTCTCCAGTAATTTGAGAGCAGTTTCTATAATCTTTTGCAGTTCCTTGTACACTTCTGTTCCTACAAGAATCCTGTTGGCCAGGGATATTCGCAAACACAGTATATCCGTTCTTCTTGCTTCTCTGGCAACTAATAATTGTTTTCGCCATGTCCTGTAAAATCCAAACATCAAAATTGTATCGTACATGAGACACCTTACACTGGAGTGCAGCAGACAACTGATACGACTCTCATAATAACACTTTTTATGTTAATAAGTTTTCCCAATAACATGTGAACAGATTACAAATTATTAATGGGGTTTATGAGTGAGTTATGCATGTAAGAATGAATGAGTATATAATTATCTATGCATATTTGACTTTTGCACGCGGGTATAAAAAAAAGGTATATAAACTACTTACTTCATCAGTTCATTATTTTTTCCACAAGAAACACAACAGAAGGCTCCATCTAACTTAATACCACAACTACCCTTCAGAATGCCAGACATTTGATTACTCAAAGCACATTGCAAATGACAGGACATTCCACATGACTCATCATTGGGAAGATCAGAGCTGCAGGTCAACCACAGACTAGGATCCTTGTTATCATCATAGCAATGGCATATGCAACAAGAACATCTCTTGCAAAAAGAATCTTCTGGATTCAATGTAGCTTTGCACGCAACATTTTGACACAAAAAGGTTTTCACTATTTCCTCTTTAATGTTCCCCAGAGGAGCATGATGTAAATCCTCATATGCAGGTTTCTTTTTCCTTTTAGATCCAATACAACTTTTGGTGGGAGAATGAGCAGGCGTATTTCCGTTGATATGCAAGTTGGAGTTCTTAGAAATTATCTTCAGAAGATGTTCTATCATTTGACTCTTGGTATATCCTGTGTATTTCCTCTCTTTGCCTAATTCAGCACAGATTATTTCTAGAAGTTCCCTGCGTGTAAATGTTTGAAGCATACTAGAAGCATCTTTTGACTGTCGAGCAATCTCATGTACTAGTCTTTGTTTTTCTGGCAAACTCAGCCCGCCCCATGTTGAAGGGTCAAGAAGAAAACCTGCATTGAAATATGAACAACATGGTTTAGCTTGAACTTCATTACACGCCTAAAGTGCAAATAAATGAAGTTCAACACGATTATATGGAAATACTTTTGACAAGTTTACAATGTGTATGACTGCACTCTTGTGAATTAAACACTGTATTTATCACCTGCCAAAAATATCTAATACGTTTACAAAAAGAAAAGCCGACAATGAAATTTTTTCGTGTTTATCAATGCAGAAGGTGCAAGGCAGAATAGAGATAAACCATTATACTGGGGTTAAAATATAGTTGTCAAACCAAGCATTAATTCAAAATAATGCAATAACAACAACCTGCTACAATTTGAGCCCTCACTAAGGCATCCTGAATATTAAAAACTGAAAACTATCATTCACATTAACCTCTGATATAACTCGCCCACTTCAATTCCAATTGCATTCTTATTATTATTATTATTATTATTATTATTATTATTATTATCAACTGAACAGTAGATCCAACTGAACACACTTTCATTTCCCATTCGTAATTCCTAATTTTTTATGTGATGAGCAGGATTTCGACACAGGTGGCAGGAATAAAAATGAGCAGCACTTTGACTTTGGAAGTGAAGGAGATGCCATAAGAGTCTAATCCTCAGAGATCGGGGACAACAGAATAACAACAGTCACAGATGAATAACCATATTTCTGTCTTTTACTTTTTCTAAAATGAAAAGCTTGATGAAGGGAAAAGATTGAAACTACTCAGGACAACCCCATATCAACTGCATTGACAATTTAACGATTAAAATTACAACTTCAAAAATCGTCAAGTAATATCAGTAAAACTTGGAGCTAACAACCAAACTATTAGTGGACAAATTGGCGATTCATGCATCGAAGAGATTCACTAGAGGCATAACATGGGACATGCATACATACAAACTGAATAGAGATGTCTCAAAACCTAGAGAAAAAAAAAATTGGATGATATGCTTGCACAACCATCTACTGGATTTCGGGAATTTATCAACATATATTAAACCTTAATTTCTTCATAACCAAACTATATAACCCAGAACAGCTTTTAGGGAAAACAAAGTTTAAAAAACATGTATGAGGGAAGTAGAAAAAAAATATATTTTTATATAACTAGCCAAGTGTGGCCTCAAATAAAAACCATCCTTTAAAAATTTCCCATTTTTCCAACAGTTCAGTGATGAAAACAGGTATGTAAAACCACCCAACTACACAAACCATCAAAGCAATAGTGCAAATGATGAAAAATGAAACTTTTATAACCTACATTGTGAACTGAAGAACACCCACGATTTATTCAAGGGGAATACAAGAAAAAACAAGTAAAACACGTTAAAGTTCATAGTTTTTATTTTATTTTACATGCTAAAAAAACGTAAAACCCCAGATAGTGAAACACCAAGAGAGAGAAAGTGATGAAAGAAAAGTGACCTGAATAAGCGGAGTTGGTTCCCAGAAAGGCAGAACCCTTGCTCTCTTCTTCGCTCATGATTCTCTCACACGCAAGAATTTGCAGTTTTATCTCAGACTCAGTAGCGGCATTGCTGATCTATTGCTATTGCTGGAGAGAGAAAGAGAGTGAGAGAGAAAGATAGAAGGAGTGGCATGTAATTGAGCATTGAATGCTAGGATACAAAATTTATGCTGTGACGAGTGATTTGGTATAACGTAATTCCCGAAAAGGGAAACTCGGAAACAAAAGTGCCAAAAAATGAAATAATAAATGGGTTTTGGGTGGATTAGGGTTGATACAAGTAATTAAATATATCACTAAGGTTTGATTTATTTATATCAACATCACTGAAATTTCATTTCGTACACACTTCTTCTTAATAATAAATAGAGCAACTTAGTTTGATAAAACGATTTATGGTTTAATCTTTTATAGGTGGAATTTTACTAATCATTTGAATGTTATATAAAATAATTTTAATATCCAACGAGTAGTTGGTAAAGGAATAGGTTTAAGGTTTTAAATTAATTTAATAAAATAATATTTTTATAATATAATAAATTAATAATAATATTTTTATAAGAATAATAATAAAAGTTATTGTTATAATTAAAAATTTAAATATAAAATATAAAATATATAATTAGTATAAAATGAATAATAAAATAAAAATTATTATTTAAAATTAATATATATTTTTTATTAAAATTATAATAAAATATTATATATATATATATATATATATATATATATATATATATATATATATATATTACTCAAAATAATGTTACTTAACCTTTTGATAAAGAATAAAAAAAATGAATTAATTTAATCTTGTTGTATGTGTTGTCACATTTTTTATCGAAACAAATTAAAAAAAAAAATTGTTGGCAAATTAAGATAAGATTAACTCATGCTAACTCGTCATTTAAACAATAATAATTTTATCTTTTAAAAAAAATAGTTGACTTAGAAAAATAAATAAACATTCTTTTTAATTATAAATTGATGTGTAAGATAATATTGTTGACTTCTATATTTAAAAGTCATATCCTAAAATCTATGTGAAATTTAGTTTATTGAAATTTTTAAATAATTTAACACTAACCTTACATGAAAAATTAATCAATTAATTTAAAAATATTTTGTGAAAACTATTTAAATTTATTTAAATTTTAATGTATTGAATATTTTATCCTTAATATTATTATACTTTCAACTCAAGTAATTAGTTTTTTTGTTATTTAATTAAAAGCACATAAAAGAATGAAATATTTTTTAGTAAAAAATTGACAAATTTTATTAAATATTTTAATATACTAAAAATATATGCATTCACTGTTATATATTATTTGAATATAACATATAAATTCCAATAATTTTTTTCCCTAAACATAATCATACATTAGAAAATAGAATAAAATAAAATAGACGTTACGGACTTTAATTTTATGGTCTGATTTATTAAAGAATATTCAACATTTAATATATTTTATAAGAGTCCTAAGCTAATGGAGCAATAGGAATGGTCAATAGTTTTTATAGCATTGATATATATATATATATATATATATATATATATATATATATATATATATATATATATATATATATATATATATATATAAGTTATATGATTATAATAATACTTAATATTAATTAAAAATATTTATTAAAATTATAATTATTTTTTTACATTTTATTGAATATAATTTGATAAGCAAAATTTAATCTGCTATATCATAAAAACATTTGATTTTCTAACATGTATTTTTTTCGTTGAGAGAAATCAACTCCGAACGGTTATTAAATTAATAATATTTTACATAGATTTAAAAAAAATATATATCAAATAAACAGTAATTTATAATAATCAATATGTTTTTCGTGTATATTATTTTATTTTATTGAATAATATATTTAAGTTAATTATTTTGTATTTGGCAACTTAAAAAAACTTACTATAATATGATGGAATTTATAATTAATATATTTTTCATGTATATTATTTTTTTTCTTGATTAATATTTTTAAGTTAATTATTTTGTATTTGGAAACTTAAAAAAAAAACTTACTATAATATGATGGAATTTAGCATCCTATGCTAATCAAAATTCAAACAAATCCTGACCCATCACAATTCTCACTGCTTTTTCTTTAGATTTTGGTTAATTATTATTGAATTTATAAAATTCACTCTAAAATGAATTTACAAAATAACTAACAACAAAAATTATCTTCTAATACATAGTTATAATTTATCTAAACTTTTATCTTATGTAATTTCAAACTCTCATCAAACAAGTTTTCTTTCTTCTGTTATCATCATTTGTTGAAATTAAAATTAATATGAGTTTTGAAGTGTCTTTTCATGAGTACTAATAACTTGCATCCATGCTAAAGGTCACAAAGAAGAAGAACAAAACAAAGTGTGATTAGGTTGAACATGCAAGTAGAGTTTGACACTATTAATGGTATATATAAGATATATTTTATTTATCCTTTGTACTTTCCACACCTTACTCTATTGCATGAACTTGCATGCAAAACTCACTCACATGCTTGTAACCATTCACTGTTGTGGTTTAGATATTCTTCTTCTTTGTTGGATTTAGACTTTGTAACTCCTTCTTCTCTACCATTGTTTTTGGTCATCCTTTTTGTGTTTCTCTCTCACATTTCATTTTTTTTTATTATACCCCTTTAATTTTTTATATTTTTTTAAATTCTATAACAAGCAACAAATATTTTATTTTTTATTCCCAAAATATCAAAATGGTATTTTAAACGTTAATAAAGAGGTATCTATATATAAATGTTTTGTTTTTCTTAAATACGTATTTGGCAACAAGAATATCATACATGGGAAATATGTATGTATAGAATAATTATGGAACATATAGATAAATAATAATGTGTATATTATAGAAATTTTCTATCAACATGTTTCCTCTGAAACATCTATTCTATAACCTATATATATTATGTAACAAAATTATGAATATAGTATTATAAATAAAATTATATATATTATATAATAGAGTAAAAAAAAAAAATATCTTCATTGTTTATTTCTGTTCAAATAATATTGCTTGATATTAAACATTGGGCTTTTTGCTAGTAATCCTTGTGTTGGGCTCAATGTAATCTTGCAAAAATAACGTGATATTTGTTGTATTCATAATTTAAGTCTTTTTATTTTTTTATTTTTTTCAATATAATAGACAAAATTCAAGTTATAGATAAAATACAATACAAATTTGTAAATATCGTGTTTATATGAATTATTTTTTATTAATTTTATATTAGGAATACTATAGATAAAATCTGACATATTATAGAGATGTGTGATTTTTATAAATTAATATTATGATTAATTTTAATTATTTATTATTTTAATTTTTTTATAATAAATGAAGAATATTAATAAAAAAATCGAAACTATAGTTTAATAAATATATAATATAACATTATTATATATATATATATATATATATATATATATATATATATATATATATATATATATATATATATATAACCTAGGCAGAAAAAACTTTTGTCTAAAATTATTAGTTAATCATTTTTAAATATAAAATAAAATTACAAATGACATATGAGAAGTTTTAAGTTTCAAATTATTAACTCGATATTCTCTCGAATATATTCATATTACCACTATTTTTTTTTAATTTGTTTTGAAACGTTGAATACGCAAGTTGTGTTCAAATTTGAAATTCTTAAGAGAATGGAGTGAGATTTTTTTTATTTTTTTTTCATTTTACAATACAGTGTCTAAAATATACCTTTCATTGTTTTGTTCACGCATGTAAAATAATTAAACATATAATATTGGAAAAAAAAATCACAATGGATAACATTTTGCATATATAGACATCATTATAATAAATTTGTACATGTAGAACCAAATATAAAATTTGTCTCAATTACGTAAACTAAAGTATATGTTTTGAAAAGCTAAAATGTTTGTGAATACTTTAAAATTGGTGTGAATTAAATTGTTTTGCTTTTAAATCTTCAATATTTAACAAGTGTGTTAATTAGTTTGTACTCTAGTGGTTAAAAAACGCAAAAAAATACTTTTTTTTTCCTCAAAGAACAAGAGAAAATATATAATTTATTATATAATCAATTATATTTATATATAATGGGTGGTATTGAGAATTTGTTTTAAAATAATTATTTAAAAATAAAGAATATAATCAAATATGTTTCAATTGATATTTTTTTATAATTTGTTTTACAAAGCAAACAATGGTGATGTATCTATATTATATAAATGGTTTTTTTTATTATTATAATAATAATGAGTATGAATAATAAATATAATCATTTTTTCTCTTTTAATATAGAATTCCTTATCTTCTTCATTCACTTTGTGATTTATTTGTCTAAACTAAATAATCTTTATTTGTTTATTTCCTTTTTATTTCTGTTTTTCTTTATCAAATAATATGAAATTCACAAAATCTGGCATGAAATGACTGAAAAGGGAATGCGGAAAGGTAATTCTGATGCAGTTAAATTTAGATTGAAAGAAGCTTTTACGTGGAACACACGTGTCAATCTCTAACAATAACACGGATTCAGAATTAATGTTTCCACGTCACAAAACACTACACTACGAAAAGGATACTTTCAATATATGTATATATATAATTTTTAAATCAGTATATTTTCAATTAAATTGTATTTATTAGAATTCGATTATTTCTATTAAGAATTTTATATTTGTTTATTATTATTATTATTATTATTATTATTATTATTTTATATTAAGGATATATGAGTATTTTTCCTTTTTATTAATTACTCTTACTTTCCATTTTTTCTTTAGAGTTGTTTTATCATTTCAAATTTATTTATTATATTCTTATATGTTTATTAATCTCCTTAAGAAGGTAGTTTATATATGTTTTTTCAATTCGTATTTTTTAAAAACAAAATTACTAACGAATAAAAAACAAACAATATCTCGTTGTTGGTTAAGGCTGAAACACTTTCATAATCAATTG